TGAACAGTGTAAAACATTAAGAATTAGTGTGCTGAGTAGAAATACTTCATGCACTCTTTTCCTGCTTGTTAGGTGTATCCCCCTGCCCACAACTTGCTTTGGTGGTAAAAATGGTAGGAGTTGACAGAGAGGATAGAAAGTCATATCTTTTTGGTAGGAGGAGGAAGAAGAGATCATTCCATAGTCTTGTGTAGAAATTAATTTGTCAGAAATTAAAACTGAAGGATGAAATGTGTTAATAGAGTTCTAGTTAAAAAAATTAAGGTATCCGTAGACAGTAAGATACTGTGTAATTGTTTACAAAATACGGGTCTGTATAAATAAGAAATAAAACAAGAAAATCTGGCAAGTGAGGAAAGCAAAGTGCTGGTCATATATAGAATGCTACCTTTCTTGTTTAAAAAAAAGAGAAAATATACATTCACACCTGAGGAAAGCCTTGCATAAATCCATATGAAATTTTTAAATTTTTAAGGTGATTTCCTGTGATAATGGTTTAGTGGCAGGAAACTGGATTGATGGGGGAAAAAGGCAGAAGGAGCTCTTTACTGAATATATTGTTGTAAATATATATGAATTGGCTGGGGTTGTGGCTCATTCCTGTAATCCCAGCACTTTGGGAGGCCTAGGCAGGTGGATCACCTAAGGTCAAGAGTTTGAGGCCAGCCAGGCCAACGTGGTGAAACCCCATCTCTACTAAAAATACAAAAATTACCCGTCTGTGGCAGCGCATATCTGTAGTCCCAGCTACTTCGAAGGCAGAGGGTGGGAGAATAGCTTGAACCCAGGAGGTGGAGGTTGCAGTGAGCCAGAATCATGCCACTGCACTTCAGCCTGGGTGACAGAGTGAGATTCTGTCTTAAAAAAATATGTGTGTGTGTATGTGTATATATGTGTGTGTGTGTGTGTGTGTGTGTGTGTGTGTGTGTATGCACGTATATATATATATACACAAAATATATATATGTATATATATATACACACACATATATATACATACACACACACACATACACACACACAGATGTGTACATAAATATGTTATTACCTATTTGCAAAATTGACTTACAAGCTCGAGTGAGAGTCAGCACCACATGGTGGTTAAGAATGCAGATTCCCTAGTGAATCCTGGCTTTTCTACTTGACAACTTTGTGAGACCTTGTTCAAGCTTCCTCTCCATGCCTTAGTTTCTCATCCCTTAAGTTAATGCTCATAAAGAAGTTACAACAAAATCTGTCATAGAGTAAGTTGCCAATATTATTAGTAGAACTATTAAAGTGTTTAATTTTTTTATCACATTTGTAAAAATATTAGAAATGCCTGGTTCTTTCATGTATCTCTGTGATACCATGTTTAGCTGAAGTAATGGATAAAGACCTGTGGAGTTTGGGTCTTCTTGTCTCTCTTGACCTCATGATTAAAAGCTTGGGCTCTTCAGCACACAGGATTAAGTTCGGATCCCTCTCCCTAAGCTGCTCAGGAGCATGTTTCTTAGGCTGATCTGTTTTAGGTCAACTCTGTCACTACAACAGTCTGGAGAACCATGTTCTAGAGTGGGCTGGTTGGATTCTGCATTTTGGTATAGGAATGTCCAAGGCAAGCTACTGATGTGATGACCCAAACCCGTAGTTTCATTCTAGAATCACTTAATGATGCTTGGAACTGAGACTGATTTGTCCAGATTATGCTGTGAGGTTTGGGCTCATATAGGAGGTAGGAGTCTGTAGTCAAAGGCTTTGTTTGCTTTCTATTTCTTCCAGTCCAGTTACAGATAATGTTTGTTAAGTTAAAAATATGCCAATGCCAGATATAGGGCCTGTCCTTCAAAGAGTTTTTTAGTAGTGGAGATGACTTCGTGATTAATAGCATCTGCAGCAATCTTTCTGAAGACCCTGACTCAAGGCACACACATTTGTAAGGTACCCAGCTGCACTCAGGGTCAAAGGCTGTCTTAAGGAAATAAGGCAAGGAATTGGCTTTGTTAAGTTGAAGGGAAAATGTAGTATGCCCTAATTACCATAATAGATATGATTATATTTATTTTAGGGAAAAATCGAGATTCAGCAGTAAACACCTCAGCCAAGCAAGCCTAGCTAGTTAGTGAGGGAAGGCGGGATTCAAGCCTGTGTCTCAGGCCCCTCAGATTCCATGTGCTCTTTTTAGAGTGGCTTTCAGCAGTGGGTTTATAGAGTCTGATTATAATAGCCAAGTTTCTTTATTTTAAATAGTTTTAAATAATTGGGGAAGTATTATCTCAGAATATAAGGATTCCTTTTACATACAGTTTGAGCACTCCAAATCCAAAATCTAAAATCTGAAATGCACCCAAATCTGAAACTATGAGTGCCAAGCATTTGCTCAAAGAAAATGCTTGTTGGAGCATTGTGGATTGCAGATTAAGTATATTGCAAATACTCTAAAATCCGAAATTTGAAACACTAACAGTTCCAAGCATTTCAGATAAGGGATACTTAGCCTATACTTTAGGTTAATTTTTACTTTCAAAAAGTTATAAAAATATATCTTTTGCTGTTGATGTAAAACCCACACATCCACATTTACTTTACTTCCCCCAAATGGTAGAAACTAAGAAGTTTTGTAGCCAGAACCTTTTTACTTAACAGGATATTCTGTCTGGGTGTTAGCATGATGGGGGTGGGAACTATGCCACAAATCTGGGGCATTTCAGCAGTATTTTTGCTCCATTGTTGATTCCTTATAGTAAATGTGACCTATGCCATTTGCTCTCAAGACAAAAATTAAAGATACTTTTAAAATGTGTACCATATTCTTAAAATCAAACAGCAAAAATTTCAGTGTCTCTTGGTGTGTTTAAGAAGGTAAGACTTACTTATGTACCTAAAACTGAGAGGTATTTTAAAAATTTAAATGAGAGAGTTCTGAAGAAGGGAGACACCTGGAGATGCCTCAGTCAGTGAGGGTGAGGGCAGGAGCTTTGGCATTTGGCCAGAGTCGAATTGTGGTTTTGTCTGTTTCTAACAAATAGGCCTCACACAAAACCTCACGGTCCTAATCATGTCATGGTAGCATTATCAACTTGGTGGGTCATTACTGACCAGATAACATGGCTCACAGAAGGCACCCTGCACAGCTCCTCCTGCCTTAGCAGGTGTGCTCCTCGCCTGATGCCGTGGCCTACATTTCAGGCAGGAGATGCTGAGACCATGGCTGTGGAAACTTGGCACAACACTCAGCATGAGACTGAGTGAAACTGCTTTGCAAGATGCTTTCAATGATGCCCAGTGAGTCAAGTTTGTGATGCAAAGAAGGGCACTTTCCTTCTTAGTGGGTGTCCTTGGTTTGTTAAAATAGGTGTGAAGGCCATGGATAGAAGAGATAAAATGACCATCCTAACATTGTTTTTTAAAACTTAAATGTGAAAATAACCAAGGGATTACTGACTTCTTGATAAAATTGGTTAGATGTTACATGGAAATTTAAAACTGAAAACAAAGCCCTTTGTTTTTAAATTTTTACTTTTCAAGTAAAATTATGATTTACAATTATTTACAGATTGCTTTTGGAAGGAGATACTGGGTGGTGTACATCGCATCCTCTTCTCCCTCCCTTTGTTGCTTCTTCTACATAAATACTTGGTAAAAAAAAAAGTAGAACCAGAGAACTGCAATTCTGCACCAAGTTATATTTGATTTGAACATTGGTATTAAACTCCTGGTCACTTATTGGCAGGGAGTTTGATTTTTAAAAAAAGATCGAAAGTTTTGTTCTTGCTTTAAGTAGGAAAACTATTAGTTTTGTAACATTGGAAAAGGAGATGTAGGATATGTACATTTCATAGTACAGTTAAAATATATTTTCTGGCAGACAGGTTTTAAGCATGTATATACACTGTTCATCTAAGTTTATATTTCTAGATGTTATGAAACCAGTTTTGTTAGTACACATGATTCTGGCTTTTCTCATTTCTCCCTCTGGAAGGAGGGAGAATGGAGGATTAAGGCAGATTAGAGTGTTGGGATAATGTCTGACTCCTTGTGTTCTGTGCACTCGGCAATGAAATTCCTCCACATCTGGACGTTACTATGGTGATATTAGCAAAATGTGACTTTTTGGTTGGTGTAGTTTAGTACAGTGCTTGTAGGGGCAGTAGAGTGAGTCACTTATTTTCTGAATCAGTATGTTTTGCCAGTGCCAACACAACTTCATGAGGGTTTCTGGTGATGCAGAATTGCCACTGCCTGTCAAGATTTGACCCATCTGTCAAACATCTGTCCCATTTCACTGCGCTGCTAAGAGACTGGATTACACCGGAGAGGCTGGAGAATCTGATGAAGAGAGACTCATTCTAGAGTTCAATAAGACTAAAAGCAACATTATTATAGCTACCATTTATTAAATCAGTCTGTGTTCCGGGCACTGTGCGAGATGCATTATGACGTGATCCTGAATGCATTTACGTGCAAGTTACTTCCTTAGTGCAGCTGCTGCTTGCTCCATGAATTTACTATCTTAAGTAGATCAACTTGGACTCTCTGGACTGAGATGCTCCCTACTTTAAAGCACGGATGGTCTCTCACTGATATTGGGAAGAAGAGCTCTGAGCTCTCCAAGATTAAAGGTGCTACTGTTTTAAACGTAACAGTGCATCTTTGTCATTCGAAAGTCTAGAAGCACACATTCGGCGTCTGTCTCAGTCCTGAGAGTGGTTGTGTTTTATTTGCTGAAGAGTTATTTCCGCATATCACATTTGAATGAAGGTGCCTTGTAGTCATGACACACTACTCTTTTGTTAATTATTTTATTAATATCTTAAGATTACAATTTGAGAGGTAGAGATTATATTGTTTTTAATGGGTGTAGGGGGTGGTGGTGATAGGTATTTTTACCCTGAGAAGTGACCTACTAGGTTTTATTAAGGGACACAACTTGTCTAGTGTGTGTGTATGGGTGGGGGGAGTAGGAAGAATCTCAGGAATTTGTCTTATATTCTTTTTTTTTTTCTTCTGTTCATTTCTAGTCTTTATAACCTGACTTCACTGGAACTAAGAGAGAATCTTCTTACATATCTTCCTGAGTGAGTCTCCGGGGAAAATAAGAGGATATTTTGTACAGAATGAATTTATATATTAAAAAAAATAGGACTACAGTATTATGTCAGAAATGTTTCATGTGTTGGGAAGTTTGGGGATGCCAGCCAGCCTTTTCTTACCAGTTCTTTCTGTGCAACATTTTCTACCACAAAAATAAAAATGAATCTTTTTGAAGCTAGTCCAGGTGAGGGATACTCTGTTGCTCACCGTTTCTGAGTATTCTCTAAGTGTTCTTTATTTTTTTAAGTAGCTCTCTTACCCAGCTGCGGAGACTAGAAGAACTTGATTTAGGAAACAATGAAATACATAGTTTGGTAAGTCCCTATTAGAGATTTGCATTTAATGTTGTTTTTAGTTGTGATCACACAGTATTTGGGGGAGTCCTATAGGGATCCGTATGAAGCCAGTATTTCCACAGATGTAGCTTGGGAATAATAGGCAACAAGCTTCATTTCACACAAGTTAGGAATTATGACTCATGGGTGGGGAAGGCTAGAGATAATGAACATAGGTGGAAACAACTGGCATTCTTAGGGAAAGTTTGGGCACTTTGAGGAAGGTGACTTGATGTTAGAGCAGTACCAATGAACATCTGCTAAGGTACCCAGTTGTTAACAGCTGAATTCAGATTCTTTCTTTCTTTAGGAAAGACTGAAATTTGAATCTTTGTTACCATAACTTCTTTTTTTCTGTTTTAGCCAGAATCAGTCGGAGCCCTCTTATGTCTAAAAGATCTCTGGTTGGATGGAAATCAACTATCAGAATTACCTCAGGTAAGTGGTAATTTCATAGCATTTCCCTGAAACATAAAACAGCAGCAATCAGCTTTGTGTATTTCCTGCTGCCACATAAGGTTTGCTATAAAAGGATCTTGAAAACCAAAAACATTGATGCAAATGCACATTTGGTTGAGCGCTCATCATTCTCCACTGCCATATAAAAACTGAAAACCTCCACCCACCATTTCTAAATATAGTAAATATTTCCTTTAGTTTGCGAAATCTGTGTTTTGTTTTGTGCTTGCTACCCATCTAGCTTACTTCAAGCCCAGCAGATTAGTAAATTGCCAGGACCCATGTTTCTGATGATATACCTTTTTGCCACTCTGATGTCCCAAGCGCTTTGGGATAATTTGACCACGTTTTTCCCCATAATAGATCATGTAAAAGCAATGTTAAATGCTTTTATTTCATATTTTTCCAAATGTTGCTATGGTTTAGCTGGCATGTGATAGGGTTTAGGCTTTTCATACTGTTCCCAAGTGGAGAACCATGTCCCAGATGAAGTGGAGTCTTATATAGACTTCTGTGCACATAGTCATCTCGTGGATTCTTAGCAGACAGGCCCACATTCTGAGACAGAAACTGAGAAACCTAAAACAAACAAAAACCAACAGGCGTTTTCCTCTTGTATTTTACCAGCTGTTACTGAATTTTGCTTTTTTGTGTCATAGCCAGTTTTTCATTTGACCAGTTGTGACGGGCTCTGTACTTTTAGTGGGGAATGGCATATCAGTGCAAGGAAGCCTAATACTAGAAGAAAGTGCTGTAGTAAATTTTTAGTTGTCATAGTTATAGCACTGAAGTTACCATAATGTCACCTAATGACTAATGGAGCTAAGGAACTACTTTAAGTCTGTTGATGAGATCTTGGCTACAGTTGGGAAAAGGAGACAGATTAGCAACTCTGGTGGGTAGAGTTCGACTGGTACTTAGATTTCTCTAGGAAATATGTGGGAAATCCTGACTGAGAGAATGCTGTTTACTTTAGGAGTCAAAGGATAGGAGAAAAATACCATGACGTTATAAGGAAAGTAATAAAACATCAGGTGTGGGACGTAAAGGGGGAAGAGTTATGTATGTTCACATGTGTGTAAATGACTTTGTGCAAAGTGTGATATTCTTAACACAAAGAAAATAAAATTCTAACAATTGTACTATAAATGGTTATTTATAAATCTCGTTTGCTCCTATAGTATAAAGTTGTGTTAAATCAGCACTAAACACATCAAAAACTCAAATAATTAGAATGATTTTTCTTATGTTCAATGATGATGGAAAGAGAAAGATACAAAGGCATTGTTAAAAGGAATTAATGAAGAGTGGAACAGCTTCATGGATCTGGCCGGAAATGAGTCGAACTGTAGTCTAGTTTCCTTTAGACAGGAAATGCAGGGACAGGATCATAAGGCAGTATCAGGTAGACGATAAGCTGAAAAAAAGAGATCAGACCAAATTAAATATAGATGGAGGAATTTGTACTTACTTAGACATCAGGGAGCCACACGATGTTTTTTGAATAACAGGTGGTCTGATTATAGGACCTAGCTAGCTGTGTTTCAGGTAGGAAGTGAGGGAGCCCAGTTTATGGAATGGTCTCAGGTAGGGGGAGTCAAGACTAGAGCCCAAGAGACGGAGCTGGCAGTCAGGGTTAGGGAGTAATGAGAGTAAGGTTTAATACTGGGAAGTGGAATGGAAAAGTAGGGGCAGTGATAAGAGAGAAATCTTGCACTTTGGGACTGGAAGGAAAGATAGGTCTTGAATAGAATGTTAGACTCATAAAGGTACTTTACCTTATCCTGGTAGACTGTTTTCACTAAAGGCAGTATATTTCTTTCAGTGTTAAAGATATGGATAGATCTGTATGCTCCAGTTTTGCTGGGGAGCAATTGCATTGATGTTTGTGCAAACAAGTGCTACCTGAAGAAAATACAAATCAGGTAGATTCTTAGCAGAGGAAATCCCAGGGTCACCCTGCAGTGTAAGCTGCTTACTAGAGATAGTTACAAACTTGAAAAGCTGGATCCTAGCCTCCTTTTTCTTTTCTAATTGTGTGACCTTGCAGCCGTTTGTTCTCCTGTATCTTCACCTATTAGGTGGGAATGATTCCTGACCTGCTTGAAAGATACAGGGCTTTGCGTCCCTCCCAGCTCTGTGTCTGTGATTCGTACAACTTCCCACTTTCATTGGGAGGGAATCTAGGAATTTGGCCCTGCTTTCACGTTTGGATTCATGCTAAAGATAACATCCTTAGGACTGCCTTGGGATTTGATTGTGAAAAATCACTGGAACAAATGCCTCTGCACGGTGGCAGGTTTAAGCGTGTGTTTATTTTTCCATGTCGTTGTTATAGGAAATAGGAAATCTGAAGAACCTGCTGTGCTTAGATGTCTCTGAAAACAGGTTGGAAAGACTTCCTGAAGAAATCAGTGGCCTGACTTCATTAACGGATTTAGTCATTTCCCAGAACTTATTAGAAACTATTCCGGATGGCATTGGTAAGCATTGGAAATAACTAACTGCTGAAGATGCTGCCTGCTGTCGTCTTGAGTGTTTGGAGCACAATTTGATCCTTTGGTCACCCTTTTCAGATCCTGGGAATGTGGCTCCTTAAAGCCTCCTTGCTGTTTGTTTTTAAAGAAAGCAAAGAGCATTTATTACAACAGAAGTTTCTCTATATGCCGATGTGTCTGTCATCCTGGGTTGGTATCTATTACTGCTGTGATTACTTTTAATCATCGATTCATTTCTATTTCATCTGTGTCTTCTCTCAATGATTTCATGAGGGATTACCCCAAATAATAAACTGTGTTTAAGGCATATGAGCAATCACTAAGAAATTTCTACTTTGGTATTTTAAATAGTTTATGAGAAAATAAGTTTGACTTATTGCATGACCCCGGGAAGGTGCAGCTGAGGGAAGGGTGGTATAATTGAATTGAGGCGTTTTTAGGACATTGATAATTCTTTAATCATCCTGTGCTATTTTCTTAACAAAGAAAGCAATCCAGACATTTTCTCTACTGTGAAGGAACTTAGTCCAATGTGAGAAAATAAGCACAGAGAAGGTATAAACAGATACGGACTTGGGAGCTCCGTTGGAGCAAAGCCACTTAGAAGTTGTAAGCGACTCTATTTAACCATGGAGTTATCATAGGATTGCTGTCTTTAACTTTTATTCAAAACATTAAAGGAAGTTTTTGAAAGATGTTTAGTAGTAGGAGAAGTTGTATGGCAGAGGACCACTTCCTGCATGGTATGTGGTCAAGATGAAAATTTCAATAGAAATTCAGACATTGCATTTTGGTTAAAACCAGCTGGAAAATCAATGGGGATTTTGACTCTATGCAGAGATGTTCACTGAGAATCATTTATGGCATCTGAAAAGGGTTGTAGAGACTGGGTGTGTTTTTTTGCTTGGAATGGGCAGCAGCAAGCATGAGATGGCTGACTTCAAAAGTTTGAAGGACTGTCTGCCAGAGAAAGAGATATATTACAGCTTGCTGTTTAAATGGGCAAAATGAAAGGATTGTGAAGCTCAGTTTCATTTAAGAAAGAGCTTTAAAAAGCGAAAATGGCTGGGCATGGCTCACGTCTGTAATCCTAGCACTTTGGGAGGCCAGGAGTTTAAGACCAGCTTGGGCATCATAGTGAGATTTCGTATCTACAAAAAATAAAAATATTAGCCAAGTGGGGTGGCACACGCCTGTAGTCCTAGCTACTCAGAAGCCCATGGGGTGGGGGAAGGATTGCTTGAGTCCAGGAGTTTGAGGCTACAGTGAGCCATGGTTGTACCATTGTACTCCAGCCTGGGCAATAGGGAGAGGCCCTGTCTCTATTAAAAAAAAAAAATGCAAAGATATGGTACAAATTAGTTTGGGTTGCATAGTGAAAAAATGAGTACCCTGTCACTAGAAGTATCCAAGGAGAGGCTAGAAGACTATGTGCCAGGAGACTTCTCTGTTGGGGTAAGATGTTTTGGTGCTTGGTTGTGGTATTCAGTATACCCTGCAGAAAATGCTAGTGGGTCTCCTGACAGTGAGGGTATGACAGTGTTAGGCTAAATATGTGATTATGTGATTATGCTAAATAAAGAGCTTAAGAATTGGTTAGTTCTCCTATCTTGCCCTGTGGCTGCACATAAGGCAAGATATAACTTCCATTATTTTTCTTTTTTGCTTTATGTCTGTGTTAGGAAAGAGGCTGTTTTCTCTTTTTTTTTTTTTTTTTTGAGACAAAGTCTCACTCTGTTGCCCAGGCTAGAGTGCAGTGGCACAATCTTGGCTCACCACAACTTCTGCCTCCCGGGTTCAATCGCTTTTCCTGCCTCAGCTTCCCAAGTAGTTGGGACTACAGGCATGTGCTACCATACTCTGCTAATTTTTTGTATTTTTAGTAGAGACGAGGTTTCACTACATTGGCCAGGCTGCTCTCGAACCCCTGACCTCATGATTCACCCACCTCAGCCTCACTAAGTGCTGAAATTACAGGCATGAGCCACCCCACTCAGCCAAGAGACTGTTTTCTGATGTAGTGGAGAAAGTGTCAGCGTGTTAGCCACTCAGTAGGGAATGAAGGGCACCTGATCTGTAGGCTTAATCCCGTGACTTGTTGAAGTGAGGATCTGAATGACTTTGCTAGTGAAGACTAAGGAGGCCGCACCAAGACTTCTTCTTTCCCATGGACAGTGGGTATCACGAGGACGTCAAGTCTTCCAGCCCTGAGTGAAATAGACTCTGTCCTTAATATGGCTTTCCAGAGGTTACTGCTTTATTCTGCAGCTATAGAAATACCTCACTGTAGGGATCTTCACTGAGTCATTTTCATTCATAGGTGATTTAATAAACTATTTATTTTTTTGTTTATGGTAAGGATAATTCTTGGAGTAAAATGAAAGTCTCCTCTCTGCATGAAACACCTCCATGCAGAGAAAGCTGTTTTGTTTTTCTGTAAATTTTTTTGGCTTTGATGTGATGTTTTTATGCTTTTTTAAATGTTTTGTTTCTAATTGAATGTTTTTAATGTTCTAAACAAATTATTTTAACCCCCAATCTTTAGTGATCTAAATGAAAATGATACAGTTTTATAATGTGAAAAGCTGGATGAAGAAAAAATAAGTAACTATTTAAAATGGAAAGAACAGCATAAATAGGAAATTCCAAGCAGTGATTAGGAAAACAATTGTTACTAATGAATTTAATAATAATAATAATGCTTTTCCAGGAAAACTAAAGAAACTGTCAATCTTGAAGGTGGATCAGAATAGACTCACACAGTTGCCTGAAGCAGTTGGGGATTGTGAAAGTCTCACTGAGTTAGTTCTTACAGAAAATCAGCTCCTGGTGAGTGTGGTTTGCATATATATCATAAAGACTTACTAGAGCAGAGTCTACTTACTTGTGACTTGAGTGGACTACATGGAAATTTCCTCACATTACATCCCAAAAGGGTCTTGGAAAGCAAATATATGACCTAAAGATCAGTTTTTAACCTGCTTAAAGCAAAGAAAGTGGTGCTTAGGTTTCCCTCTTGAGCCTGTGTCCCAGTTGTGGTACTTCGAATTTAGGGACTGAACAAATGCCTCACAGACGTCTCCAGTGAGTTGTGGGGATAAACTGCTCTTGCCGGATGTGTTGATGCCCCCCAGCTGTGGTGCCCAGAGACCACTACCGGGAATATTTGTCAGGATTCCTCTGGCCTCTCCTGGGTTCTTTGAAGAAATGGGAAGAGCAGCAGAGAAGAGTAAAGAGATGGAGGTTGGCCAGGAAAAGCCTTGGCAGGATGGGGGCTGGGAAACGCTCTTGATCGAGGAGCTAGAGGATGGCATCTGATGGGCTCTGGTTAAGGCTGCTTCTTATAAGAACTTGGGAGTGGAGGGGGCTAGAGGGGTCCTCCACTTGGACCAGACTTCCACCAGACAAGGGCAGGGGTGATGCATGTACCCCCTGGCAAAGGGTGGGTGGGCACGGTGGCAGCAGACCTCTCTGTTTTTGTTCGTCCTTCAGCTGTCTCTTCTTCTCCTTCCCCCCTCTTTCATATGTCATACAGCCACTCCCTTTTCTTCAATTTATTCTCCTACTTTTCTCTCTTCTTTTCTCCATCTTCATTTGGTCACTTTGTTTTTTAACCCTCTTTTTCTTTTGCCTTTGCCTTTTCACTTTTCTCCTTTCTCTATAAATAGAGTAAATAATGCTCTTTTAGGTGGAAAGAGCAGAAAGGACAGCAAGGTAGGATGGAGTGCACAGACGAGGGTGGGGAGCCCGGCAGTCCCCAGGCAGCTTAAGCAGCCAGGCTCTGGTAGGTGTGGTGGGAGCTACCAAATCTTCCAGTCCTGCTTTGTGACTTTAGGCTTACCAACTCTAAAAATAATATTCACCCCTGAATTGTACTGGAGTGTTCAAGTCCCCCATGTGGGTGCCAGCTTGGTTCTGGTAGAGCACTGCTCCCCACTCCAGGATGCTCACCTTTCACCCATTCCCATAGCCCTCACCTTCCTCTGCCCATGTGGCACCTACCCCAGGTGCTGATTCCCTGCCCTGTTGCTCCCATGCCCTGGCTTCCACCGGCATCTAAGCCACTGTCCCAGTGTGAAGGTGCAGGTGGGGCAGGAATGAATCTTGAGGCTATAAATTCTCACTTACTTGAGTTGAACAGCATTTCATTCCCTTTACAAGATGTTTCCCTTTTCCCAGGTCTCAGCTTTTGCCTTCATTCTTTTAAAACAGAGTATCATTTTAAGAAAAATTCAAAATTCTTAATGTTGCACCCCCTAAGTGGACACTACAAATGTCTAATACTCAGCAAGAACTATTGCTTCTGTTGCTGGATGAGATTATATTTTTTGGGTCCTTGCAAAAATCTTATTTACTATAAGCCACGTTAAAAATATGTGTTAAATTAATAATGAAATTGTCATTTTAACAGACCCTACCTAAAAGCATTGGAAAACTAAAGAAGTTGAGCAACTTGAATGCAGACAGAAATAAATTAGTGTCCTTACCAAAAGAGGTATGTGCTTTTAGAGAAATCACATGATAATAATTATGAAGAAATAATAATACATAAAGGATCAAAAATGTCAACTGCTTTGCAAAGATGTATGTGTTGTTTTTTAAAGGTGTGAGCTCTAATCTGTGAGTATAAAGCTGACTGGAGGAATTACGTCAAAGAATGGTCATCAGTAACATTTAGGAGAGTTAGGAAAGGTGAATTGATAGGATTTTAAATGGTGGAAAGAGATTGACATCTTGGCCTTGACATGCAGAGAATGGTGACACCATTGGCAGAAATGGATAATTTGGGAGTTTGGCAGAGGAAATGGATGACTTTGGGTTTGATTTTTGAATTTAATGTAAAATTAAGCTCTGTCACATAAGCAGTTGGAATTATAAAAATTGATCTTAATACAACCAAATATCTGGGCAGAGATTTACATTGCGCATTTGGGCATGTTCATGTTTTGGATGAATGAGAGTGAACAAACTATTCACAAAGGCGTACACATAGAGGAAGGTGAATCGGGAGGCTAAAACCAGCTTCCTAGTTTTTCTTTTTTTTTTTTGGTCAGTGATCTAAGCATGAGAAAATGAGACGTCACCATCTGTTGTGGAGAGTAGCTGGGCGGACTTAAGGCATTTAAATTCTGACAAGGGAGATGGAAATGCTGACAATGAAGAGGAAGTTTACAGTGGGTCAAACAAGGAGGTGTCTAGTGTGTTGTTTAGAAAAGAAGGCATAGTTTCTATTGGGCACTAAAAGAGCTTGGTTGGAGAAAGATAATACTGAGCTTGATTTTTTTTTTTTTTTAATTGGTAATAAGGCCTAAAACTGGCTGTTGGACCCTTCTTCTTTGCTGGGTCCTCCTCTAGAAAGGCACGGTATTTCCTTGTTTGATGTGATCACTGGCCAGCTGTAGTTTGCTTCATATTTCTGTTTTGACCTTTCTAACATCCATTTTGGAATAATTTCAAAGCTGCCGTCCAACCAGTCAGAACATGAGGGGTTCTTATTTTCCTAGGGCCATGTCTCAGCGTATCTGAACTTCCTCTTTCCTTTCCTCATCTTGATGTTCTGCCCACAGTGTCCCAGTCTTCTCCCTGGGTAGGGTGGCCAGTATTTCTAAATGGAGACATGAGACGATTTACTATAAACATGATCATATTCTAAAACATCCTTAATATGAACACTGGCATCTAAGTAAACTGTTTCTGGTTAAAAGACTTAAGTCTGATCTCAGCTAAACAGGGACACAACTAAGAGATTCTACTAATTAAAAAAGTTGTTTTCTAGTTTCTAAGCAATAAACCAAAATACAGAACTGATATTCTCAACAATTAAATTTGCTCTTGCCAAATAGCACTTGCACATCGATAGTAGATTGGACATGTAAATACACATATAGATGTAGAAAAGATTTCTTTCTTTTTTAATGCCAGGCACTGTACTAGATGCTTTCAAATATTTGTTGTACTTGTTGAATCCTTACAACAGCTTTTGCAGTGATGATGATTTCCTCATTTTATGGGTGAGGAAAATGAGGCCAGTGAGTAGTTTTTCCTACTATGGCTCACACAGCTAGGAGTTGGTAGAACCTGACTCCAAAGATGAGTTTCCCAATTAAGACGTGACCATTAGATAACGCAGGCTCAGCCCAGCCTTTCCATCTGTGTGACCCTGAGGTAAGGCAAGCCCCTGATTTGTTAAGAAAAGGCCAAAGTATCTTCGGTTTGGACACTACAGAAAATTAATACATTTCAGGTGTATTTTCAAGGCAGATTGTGAGGAAAGCACTTTTAGGTTTAATGTTAATTCCCAGCAAGTTTTACCTCCCATCCCCAGCTTCCCTGACCCTCTGACTTTCTCTTTCACAAGATTACGTTCTAGATGAGAACTCTGGAAATTTACTTTCATAAAACTTTCACCATCATTTCAGCATCAGTCCTCTTTTCACTTTAAAAGACTAAAACACACACATGTTCTGATTAGATGGTTATGTCTAGTCCATGCTATATGTCCACTAAATTTACTAGGACAATTTTTCATGATGTGAAAAGTAAAATTATTACGAAAATATTTCTAACTTTAATCATTTTAGTTATATTCTGTCCATTTTCTGGGAAATTATGATTGGCATCTGGCGTTTTAGAAATAATTCTCTAAGAAATTATGATTGGCATCTGGTGTTTTCTGGCTTCTGGCGTTTTAGAAAGAAATAGTCTGTGCCTTTCCCTTCAATTCTCTGCTAAAGCAGACAATGTTAGGTTTTTAGGAATTGGATCTTTTCTGGCTCACCTCCTACTCACACACCCTCAGATCCCAGAGTAGGAAACGTGCTGAGCACATGTCTGCAATTCTCCTGAGGGTCACAGTTTGATGCCCAGCAGAAATGGTTGAGTGCTTGCCTCTGACCATCAGTGCTGAGCAGCCAAACCACTGAGAGCTCCTGACCTCTCATTGCATCACGTTGGCCCGGGCAGCACTGTCATGTCGTGAGTCTCTATGCAGTGAGTGTGGTAGGCCCTGTGATTGTGTGTATGCTAGCTCTGCCTCCAAGCTTGATGCCATTAAATCAAATCTTGCATTTTCCCCATTGGATTCTTCCAAAAATTTATTGCTTTCTCTTCAACAGTTAAGTTGCATTCATATCTAAACTGAAATGCTGACCGATTCAATTCATATGCCAAAAACCCATAGTTGGATTAATTGCCATTAGTCTGGTATGCTGTGTAGTTCTTCCCATAGTTTGTTCTTTTAAAAAAGTTTTTTTATAGTATTGTGTGTTGCCAGTTTTAGGGCACGGCTCCTTAGTCTGTAGCAGCATTTATTTGCATTTTGTTCCCCAAATGATTGAGGGGAAAATATTTGTACTGTGTGGGTCACAATAATGGATTCTGTTTGTGTTTTGTGGTGTTATTTGTAGTAAACATTTGCAAATCAATGAATGTCTTTTGTTTTCTTAATTGTTAGCTGCTTGGAAATTTAGAAAAGTCAGGTAAACTTGTTATCTTGTAAGTATTGTTCAGACCACAGTTGCATCTCTAACTTCCATTTTGCTTCTTAAATGCATGAAGATTCAAATCGGCTGACAGCTTTGTGTGCTGTTCATTGTAAAATATTGGACATTTTCCTCTAAATTCGGTTTTGTTTGTTTTTTTTTTTTTTAAATGACTGCATGGCCTGGAACCTTATTTTGTTATGTGTCGTTTTTCATGTTTGTTCAGATTATTCACTCTCAAAAGAATGCTTTTCTGTGAATTACATTTTAAGTTATTCAGAAATTCTAAAAGGCATCATTTGGCAGCTCATCTGTCTTCACTAAATTGTAAGTTTGTCAGCACAAATCTGTCTCTAATAGAAAGGCTAGATTTGCTTTATTTGCTACACCTGGCATGCCTATGATTTTTTAAGTCACTTATTTGTGTCTCATATTTTTCATCCTGTTGCTTAAGTATATATATACTTCTGGGAAAAGGCGATTCCTTAAAAACTCAGAGTTTTGGTGAAGAGAAGAGTTAGGGAACACACTGTGCAGTAGTATGATTGATTCATGATAGATGGAGTCGGTGGTATATGTGTGAGCATGAGTATGATGAACAAGAGCCAGACCATAAAGAGTTTCTGGCTAGAAGAAATTGAGCTTATATTCAAGTTTAGAGTCCTTTTCTCTTTTTGTTTCCATTAAGTCCAAATGGAAGTGATACCAACTAAGCCACACTTACCCAATCAAATGAGACAAGATAGCATTTGCAGATCATTCACCAAAGTTTTTTTTAATCAGGCAACCTGTAAATATTAATTACCTATAAATATTACTATGATACTCAGAAATGGTGGTGATATCCACTTCATGGATAGTTTTCTGCCTTCTTATTATTACAATTTAAAATTCTTTTAGTATAAGTTTCCATTATATTCTAAAATGAATTATTGATTAAAGACATAATATGGAATATAGAAATATGAGATAAAATATAGTTGACCATCAGATTTCAAGATGGAGAAGGCATTCCTAAACTTGAAATACATCATAAAAAAACTAGTTGATGGATTTGTTGACAGGAAAATTAGATTTCTGATTTTCAAGAAGGTAAGACAGCCTTTACCTTTTCGAAAGGGGGTTGGGAGACATTTAAGTATCTTAAATGAGAGATCTATATTTACTCTATTAGAAGTTCTTTATACCAATGAGGAAAAGATGTACTTACTATAGAAAAGTGGACAAAAACAAAGAAACTTTCACAAAAACCAGCAAGTGATCAACAGAAGAACAAATAGAAATGGCAACTAATGTGAAACAATTTCAGCCTCATCAGGATTCACAAAAAAAAAAATTAATAATACCAAATTTTGGCAAGGGTGGAGGGAAGTATATATTATCATGTAAATATAAATTATTATGACTTTCTGGAAGGGAATATAGTAACAGTAAAAACTTTAGAAACATGTATACCCTTTGATTTTGCAATTCCACTTCAAGGAAAACATTCATGGATATACACTAAGAATGATGCACAAGAATATTTCTCACATTATGAACAGGAACTGGTCTCATGTTCCAGACACCATACCAAGTGTGCAAAGGGACAGCTAACATGTGCCAGGCACAGTGCCCAGGGCTTTTGCACTTATTCTTATCTAATTATCACCACAGTTCTATGAGGTGTAGGTAAATCATTATCAATGCCCAACAGACTGTGAAACTAAGACAGAGAGGTTAAGTAACTTGCTTAGAATCACACAGCAAAGAAGTAGTAGACCTAACTATCATTGTCTAACCTGGGCAGTTTCTTAAATAATCTGTGATACATCCATAGAAGGAAATAACTGTGTGGTCAGTAAAAGTCCTCTTAGAAACATTGTTGAAATGCATATGTATAATCACAAATGCATGGCAAGTGGTACTGGAAGATTGTACCTCATAGTGTTAATACTGATTATTCTTTTGCGGTAAGATTTGATTTTTTTTCCATTGTGCTTTCCTGTGTGTGTATGTTTGGTTTTTATTTTCTAATCAATCAGAGGTACTTTTTTGTAATCAGAAAAAAAAAGAATTCCATAGCAATTAGTAGATATTTTGATGTCAGTAGCCCCAGAATTCAAAGAATCCCAAAGCCACAAGATTTCAAAAAATATTTATGAAGTAGGGAACATTTGAATATTATGCCATAGATGATGAGATTTTAAAATTATGCTTCATATTATTTCTATTCAAATTGCATTTTGGCCAGATTTTGCTTATTGTACATTTTTCTTTTTTTGCCAATGGAATGTAAGTTAAATTATGTTACAAATAATATTAGAAGGAATATACTGAAGAAAAGTGAAAATTCCCTTACACTTAAAGTAAGCATTTAAAAAATGGAATATAAACAAAGATGACTAACATAGGCTCCCTTTTGGAATCATTGAATCTGTCCAATGATCTCCCCCTAGGGCGAGCTAACCTGCAGGCAATTAATACTTAGTGAAAGTTGACCAGAGCAGAAGTTTGCTCAAGAATCTGCAGATCCTATTTTCTTGAGATAGGTTAGATCAGTGCCTAACAGCTAAGGACAGTATCATTTTGAATTAAGAGAAACACAAAATGGCTGGACAAAGATTCTCAGCTATATTCTATAATTCTCAGAGAATCCAAGTCCAACCCCTCATATTCTGGGAAGGTGCTATTATGTGGTTTAAGGGAGGCTTAAAAATATCAGCTTCCTATATAACTGGTGATAAGTTATTTAAACAGTGACTCTGCTTCCCAGAACTTCTAAGTGATACAGACATTTTGTCCTGATGACCACTAAGGAACCTGTAAACTCTGCCTCCTGAACCCAAAAGGGAAAGCCAAAATATATATGAATGATGTGTAAAATGCTGAACTCATGTCAGTCTTCACTATTATTAAAACAAAATGTCACTGTGATACATCGTTAAGGAGATGGTTTTTTTAAGACATTCAGGTAAGTTCAAGAAAGAGACTGCCAGCATCAGCACAGTTCTAAGAACATAGTAAGATATTCAGGTGTTGATTGCACTCATCATTTGGATCTGAGGTTTTTACTTCCTGGTGGGGGGGGGGGGGGAAGCTACCACATTTATTTGGCAGCAGCAATAGGCCAGTTACTATGATAGGCACCAAATTATATATGTGGTTTCAGTTAATTTATTCCTTATTGTTACTTTTGGTTAAAGTAACATACCCAAACCCGCAAAACATATGACTAAGTCTAAATTCTAGCCCAGGTCTGTATGATCTCAAAGCATTTGCTCCCTCCATCATACCATATCTCCCTCTGACGTCTATAAGGAAGTATATCTTTTCATTTATGGGTTTGAATGCTTAATAATCTTTTCTAAAAACCAGAGGTTTGTACCATCCCTTCCTGGCTGATTTGGAAAGAGGGCTGTGTTTGTGTGAATGTTTGCTGGGACAGCATGTGCCTCTGTCGGGTGATTAAGGCATCCCTAGCACACTCTGCAACAACATGTGCTCTTTGTTGGCATTGTTTTTAAAAAAATCCACAGACAATAGAGATCAGGAGGTCACACTGCCTGCTTTGACAACCCAGAGGGCCAAAGAAGCTCTTGTACGCAATTGTTTTCTACCTCTTGATGTCTCAAATGGGTGTGAGATTAGAGTGGGAAAGGAAAAAGAAAAATGAAACAATAAACACAGTAGACAGTTCACATACTTCATTGAAGTTTACACTATATATTCCCAAATGATTACGGGATCTTAGCTTGTTCAGAACATTTATTTAGAGTTTCCTCTGACCCACTTTAATTAAGTTAATTAATTTTTTGGCTGCATATGTACACATGATACAAATTGAAAATGTTCACATGGTATAGCAGTAGGGCCCCAAAACAGATATTTAGCAGGTTGTTGTGGTGGGAGGGCAGTGGACAGCTTCATGACAAGATGTCCAGAATTACTATGCAGTCCCAGCTCCATATGCCTTCCAGGAGCTAATTGTCCCATCCGGATGATCATATAATTAATATTATCTGCTTTCCTTCCTTGGGTCATCACATAAATCCTGTTTCTTCAAAGCTAGGTCAGGTTGCTAGGGGGGCTGATCTTCAGCCTCAGCCAAATGCTGACCTGGAAGCCCTCCCTCGGGGCATGTAACCATACCCCTGAACCCCAGCCTCCCTCAGAAGCTCCTCGACCTGGAGTAGGGGTGCAGGAAGGGTGTGCCAGGGGAATCTAGTCATTCTTTCCTATGAATAGCTCTTTGTCAGGATTGTCTAAATTTATCAGAGACTCTACTAATATTGATTGTCAAAAGGATCAGGGTTTTGATTGCTTTCCTTCCATGATATTTCTGGTCACCTGAGTAGAACTGATGACTCCCTTCCTCAAGGGAGGGAGGATGTGCTCAGCCATAGAAAAATCCAGTTGCACATTTCTTATAGGACGCCATATTGGGGCTACACATTTATAAAACCTAGGAGAGGCGACTCTGGTGATTCTTACTGGAACAAAAAAGAGTTTTGTTGTCTTCGCTGCTACATACAGAGGCAGATAACTTTTAAGTAGAGGTCTTTCACAAGTAAGTAAATAAAATGTATAAACATATGTAAATGAGAAATTTAGTGGGCAGAGAGGCTGTGTTTGGTGGGTAGATAGGATGAATATTATACATGCCAAGCACCCTGAGTGTACATAAGCATATATAAATTAAACAACAGTAACTCAGTTAAATGATCTTAGGGTTCTTCATGTGGTATTTTGTGCTGTCAGAGAGTTAGACCATAATAATGAAATAACTGCAGAGAGCATTTTATTATGTGGACCAAAGGGTTTTGTGAAGACTCTGTGGAGGAATAGAGGATGTTTAGCTAATTTTGGATCATTGGTAAGCTTTAAAAAGAAAGGCGTTTCTATTAAAAACAGTGAAATCAAAAATATACAATGTGTTTACAGTATAATGAGTAGACCATTTTTGCTGGGATGAAAAATATGTGAATGCAGGGACTAAAGGGGGCAATCTAAAAGCCTTTCTACATATCTGGGTGCTTTCTGCATGACCAGAGACAAATGTTAGTCTACATTTACTTATGTATTTATTTTTCTTTTACATGCATTATGGTTAAATATTGTGGTTTAATACATTATTTTGAAGTCTTTACATTTTTAAGGGAGGAAATAAAAAGATTGTGTAAAAAGGTTATTATGTAGCCATTCACAAATATGCATTCTGCTTTTTAGGATATTATATACATATATTAAACACATGCATAAATAGAAAAGGGCAGAGGATATATTCAGATATCATTGACCATTCAAGTCTTGTTCTCTTCCTCAAGTGGGAGGCTCTGCAGTAGTATTTTTCCATGTGTTGGGGAGACATCAATAGGTTCCTTCATGAGCCTTTTCTAGCAGTTGCCCGTAGTCAGGAGAGTGAATACAAGAAGAATGTAGTACTTCATGGAGTCCTGCAGAATGTTGTGTCTGGGACAGAGCTATTTTTCCACCCTCTTGATTCAGTTTTCCTGACTGTAAAAACCACCACCAATTTGTTCAAGAGAATTATTGGATGTTGTGTGTGTGTGCTTATGTTCTTCTTTGAAGACCAGACACATACAAAGCTCAGTTACCTTTAAATTGCAAAAAAAAAAAAAAAAAAGGGGGGGGTAATCAAATTTGGTGTGGATGCTGATGTTGATTTGTGTGCTTTTGTGAGCAGAACATAGCTGGAGAAATGGATGTATAGATTTACTCAATTGACTTTTTGTGAAAATATTGTTCATTTTACGTTCATCAAAAAAAGTGAATTTATCACATTAATTTGTGAATGACCAAAAACTATTAAAAGGTGTATGGTGGAAATTAATGTACTGTATCATCTGTAAGATATCCCTCTTTTTTGAAAAATAAAAAGGAACACTGAGCATGCTGAAGTTAATCTAATGGGGAAGTCTTGAATTATGTGTGCATCAGTATCACCTTTGTCATAACTTTTGAAACTAGAATTGTTAAACTTCCATATTACCACACAGTATTTTTCCAGATTGTATAGTTTGGTTAACATACTTCACAGACGCAGTTGTGTTATATATCAGTGGTGGAAAAATAGCTCCTCTTAAGAATAAAAGTTTTAAACTGTATCATTGATTTTCTTGATTTAATTTAGAACATGTACGTCTATCATTTTGTAGAGATTTTTATGATCATACGGGGCTGTGTTTTGTATGATTTAACTTAATGATTGTTGGTCATCAGTAAGACCAGTGAGTTATGTAGTATAAGTTTATGCATCCTTTTTATACTGTTTGGTAAACGAGTTACTCTGATCCTACTCCATCTCCCCCAGAAAACTGAAAAACATGCTGTATTTTCTTTCTCACCATAGATCGGAGGGTGCTGCAGCCTCACCGTGTTCTGTTTGCGTGACAATAGACTAACTCGGATACCTGCAGAGGTGTCGCAGGCGACAGAACTTCATGTCCTGGATCTGGCAGGGAACAGGTAAGCCTGTTGTGGTTTGCTTTGCTTGAGAGAAACAAATATACATCTATCCCAATTTTGCAGTGCATTTTCAAATTTTTGTCTTCGCTTCATCTTACAGAATATAATCTCGATTTTTCAAATGCCCTAAACCCCGGGGAGTTCTTCATATACAGGTAGAGTGCTTGAGCCCAGTGGAGCAGAGAAGGTCAGGGACAACCTGAGCATAGTGGTTTTCCTTGCCCGGGCAAAGTGTCAGTGGACACTTTCGTAGAAATGCTTCCCAGAACAACAGTACAATGATGTCAGGGAAAGAGCTGTGGCCTGAGAATGGGGAGACTCGGGTTGTGGCTTAGCTCTTCTAAGTAGCTTTTGGAAGTCTTCATGAGCTTCAGAGTTTCCTCACCTTCAAAGTGAGTGCAAATGAGTTTGAACTCAGTTTTAACTAGGGGATCTTGATATAATCTGCTGGTGACTCTGAACCCCCTGAAAATACAAACAAAATTCTGTATTTAGGGAAGTGTTTACAGCTAATGTTGGAATCTTCAAATGATTCATAATCCAAAAAAAGTTCAGAGCTGCCGTACTAGTATCCCCATGGCCACAGCATCACCATTTCTCAAGTCGCAGAGCAGAGGTCATGTTGGACGGAATGCCAGTTTCTAGAATATGCCTGTTCTTCATCTTCATGGAATACATTTGTTTCAGTCATTCTGAGCTATTTCAGCACCCCAAATGTCATATGTGCCTTCTCTGTGAACAGAAACAGGCTTTTTTTTTTTTTTTTTTTTTTTTTTTTTTTTATCAGGGGCCCTCTTCTCTGGCTCCTTGGCTGTCTCACTCAAGCTTTGTTTTCTCCAGAATGCCTCCTTTCTGAATCTGCATTTGGGGAATTTCCCCTACCGTGGCAGTCACAGTACCATATGAGAATTGTCTGTTGTCATGTGGGTAACCCTACTAAGCCTGAAGTTACCTAAAGTGAGATACTCTAGTTTATGTGTCATTGTATCACTCGTCCCATCACAGTACCTGGCACATAGCAGATGCCCGGTAAATATTTTCAGTGGAGTGAAAATGTTAATAGTTTTACTGGATGACTAGCAGGCCACTGCAGAATGGCTTATATCACAGACTTCCTTGCCAAAAGGAATTAAAAATTGCTTTTGAGTGTGATATGGTTAGAGAGGAGAAAAACGTTCAACTGCTCGGGAGAAGATGATCAATGACCTTAAATGGTAAAGGCCAGCAGTCTAAAGAGTGGGCAGCTAGCTGTCTCCTGAGTGCTGACTAGCTGGTCATTTTGGTCAGGCACAGGCCACCATTTTTTATTCTTGCTAATGGATTATAGACAGTAGGGCTAAATAAACAGCAGTTCTCAGCTGGAATCTAGAGATGAGTTATAGCCTCAGGGAGTGCTCACCTTTTAAAAGTTAATGCTTTCAGGACATCTTGATAGATTCTTAAGACCACTAACTGGTTGCTGGAACCCAGGATTAAATTGAGTTGAACCTCAGATTTCTGCTGAAGTAAGCATAACATGAGCCTTTACAAGGTAAAGAGACATGAGAAGGGTACTTCTTTCCTATCTCTCATCTTTAGCAGTAGAAACAATGAGTCCACATTCGCTGGTTCTTCACACACTAGTGAGCATGAATTTGCATCATTAATTCTTAAGCAGAAAGATGGCTGTGATGCTGAAAAACGGTTTTTATATGTGTGAAAGCCTCATTTTCCCAGTTCTCAGAAAAAGAGAAAGTTAAATTTTTATTATGCCTGGCCTAGGGTGGAGAAAAACCAATTAAAAAGTTGAGTTACATAAGTTGAGTTACATAGCTGTCATTTGAGCCAGTTAAGTGTGTCATTTCGTCCATGCATATATAGATTCATAACCAAATTTTAAGCCCATTAAAATATTTAATCACTAGTTATTTAAAGTATCAGTATAGAAACTAATTTTTTATAAAAGGGCCACCTTGTCAGCCTTTTAGCTTGCAGAAATGTCATACCATGGGAAATCATACTAACTACAACAGAAGCTTCTGCCTCTTCTTTCAAGTATATGAAAATAACACAAGGCAGCTGGAAGCCTACACTGTGAGTTTCCAGAAACTTTCTTTTGCAGTTTGGTAGGATAAATTATAGCAAGGATGACTATAACCTGTCACTTGGAAACCAAATATTAAACTGTCTGTGACGGTAAGGGAAAGATGTCTTATATTATCAGTTACTCAGCCACAGAACACAAAATTCCTTAATACTTAGACTCTCTCCCATAGGACTATCCACCAAGTGTGCAAAACTGGGTATTTGAGGATCTTCCTTACTTGAAATATTAGTAGTACCAAATATTAGAAACAATGGCTGTTAATTAGAAAATAGGAAATAGTTTACACTTTTGAATTTTGTACTATGTATGTATGTTTTACCCAATCCGAAGATTTAAATTAAAAAAATTAAAAGACAACAGCATACTGTTGTGGAATACTAAGAATTCAAAGAATGAGATATTATTTTTCTGTATAGTGACACAAAAGGAGACCCAAGATACTGAGTGAAAGGGGAAAATATTCAACACTAGAGCTGTCATTTTGGTGGGCTTTTTTTCCTAAAAAAGAAAAAGAAAATCACTTATTTGTGCATTATACCCAAATATAATAGTAGTTCTCCTAGATGAGACTTGAGGCTGCAGGGAGTTTTCATTTTAGATATTATAGTATTATTTAATTTTTTTGCCAGTTATGTTCTCAATTTATGTATATTTTTAAACATTTTTGAAAACTTTGCTTAAGACTAAAACTTCTAGCAGAAGGTAACAGAAAAATGAAACATCACATTGTAAGATATATTCAGTCACTGGTTAATATTAATCAGTAGGCTGTGCTTAGATATTAAATACATTTGAGAAAGCAGTTGCTGTAGTAGTTCACAGGCATGGAAGGTCACTTGGGGCTGGGCTGGTCATGGATATAACTGGAGACAAGAGACTGACAGTATGGTTATTCATTTGCTTTAGTCCTTGTACCACTGGTGTGAATAGTAACCACACATTTTTTTTATTTCTGGGGGGATGTGGTCCTAAATAGAACACAGAGATGCCTAAGGGCTGTGGTTTCTTGTGTGTTGATTGTATAGTGTACAGAAGGTACCAGAATAAACCAAAAATGTATTATTAGCTCCTTTGGAAAACAGGAGTATATTTTTCATCTATTTCCTGACTTGTAGCTGGAATGGTTTACCCAAGAGAGACAGAAAAGCATGTGTATGTCTTTTTTTGCCCCCAGGCTGTAGTGAGTTAGTGAGAAGATCAGCCAACCTGCAGAATCTCTGTGCGCAGACTGTTCAAGGAAGAGGGCATTTTTTTTCTCTTGGACACCACTGGCAATGCTTCTGTCCACAAGACAGTGGGCAGCTAATGTGTGGTGTGGATTCAGTCACAGCAGTCACATTTAAGCTGACACTTTGATTCTTTGCAGTAAGACTGGTATTTCAGGCAACTCATTAATATGATGATAAGATTTGTTGTTGTAGAGTCTAGTAATTTATTTGGCTTTTGTCATATGGTTTGTCATCCTTAGAAGCTGTTATTTGTTAATATTATTGATGCTCTCTTTAGCCTCTTATTTATACTTTGCTTTAACATTCAACTGGGAAGCCAGTTATTAGTCTGAGAAGTTACAATGACCATGTTTGAGTATCTGTGTTTTGTGCCAGCTTTCAGGTCTTGATTTTTTTCTCTATGTTCTCATGAGTAAGACAGGTAGAGATGCTGACTGTGTCTTGCCCAATAGATGAAACTTTAAACATTCTAGTGGGCGGTAGCTTGATTCCTCTTTTAAAATATATAGGAGAAAAAGTGAAAAGAAATTATATTTTTGTTCAATAAAATGAAAGAGTTTAATTAATGTACTCGAAGCTTTAACAGTGTAAAATGACTATTTAAAAAAAAATTCTGCCACAGAACCTGGAAAATACATATTTTTAACTTCCTTACATTTGAATTTATATGTATGCAGCATCCTTTGGATAGGAGGAGAAAGAATTTTTGTATAAGCACAAGATAGTTCATTTCTATCCCTTAACGAACAAATGTCTCACAGTAAGAAGAAATAGAATTGTGAATCTGCTGTTCCCTTAGGTTCCCTCAGGTGTTCTTCTCTTGGTATGAGCACATGGTGGCACTGGGTGGATCCTAGGATTTAAAAATATGTATTTCTCACCCAATATGGCTCTTGTTAGTGAAATATTGTACAGTTCATGGTCTTTCCAAGGGCACTCTAATGTGCAGTTCTCGTGGATGCACTGGCTTAAGAACCTCACTCCCACTTAAGTTACAGCTTCACAGTACTTCCTCAGTATTGCACCCAATGCATATGCATGAGATGGACTAAGCTTTTACTGGACTGATTGTTAAGGAAAAGAAAATATTTTCTTAGATTTGAAACTAACCCAGAAATCTTTTGCAAAATGTATTGTCACTGTGAACAGTTTGCTAATAATGCATTTGTTGTTAATACTCTCTATGCACTCTTTGATTTTTTAAACTTCTTTTATTCAAGTAATTTAACCCATTTATGCCTCGCTTTTACTCTGATTAGTTTGTATTATTGGAATGCAGCTTCTTTCCATATCTTTAGAGAGTTCTAGTTTATTTCCCATAAGTTCTGTCAATTCAGATGGTATGTGTGTCTGATAATTCACTATTAATCTGTTGGTAAGATGTATAAGATTTCCTGCTAATGTTAACTGGATATAGGTGCACCTATGATTTCTGGCAACGATCTTTACTAAATAGAGTTTATTGGTTGCAGCCAGTTTGTGAAATCTTTGTGCAAACATAAATATAAAACTAATCTTTAGGTGTCACATTATAACATTTAAAGTACTTTTATATGTACTACCTCATTTGAAACTGAAATAATCTGATGTAGATATTAATTATCACCTAGGAACCTGAGAAGTAAGAGCCTCTAGAAACTGAGAGATAAAGGTTTAAAATGGAATACCTGAAATAATCTCCCTAGAGTAAACAAATGGAGTCCATGCAAAATGGTGTTTAATCTTCATTTCGGCTGCAACTTAAACTCTTTAGCACCCCAGGCATCTCCTTCCTCTTGGCCTGATTCATCAAGTGCTCCTGATGAAACAGGTGATTTCACAGCTTCACACTAGCCCTTTCAGGGAGGCTGTGGCCATCGGAAGTAGAGAACTCATCCCTCCTTCCAAAATCACCTTGACTTTTTTTTTCTCTCTTAACATTGAAACCTAGAATAAGACCCTAAAAATGTGTCCTATAATGTCCCCCCCTTTTTTTGCCTTATAATGTGGAGGTTCTAATGGGAGAAGTGAGAGCAGAAAAAGGGAAGCACAGGAACCTACTGAAGAGTCCACTTGCAAAGAGTATGTCAAGTGTCTTAACATAACATCGTTTTTGCATTTTGAATCCGATCTCAGGAAGGTCCTTTAAATTTTTTTCCTGATTTTATTCATTGGGATTGATTTGATTACAAAATTTGAGGTTGTGATGTCTCCTCTTTTTAAAAATTAGGTTGTTGCATCTGCCTTTATCCCTGACTGCCTTGAAGTTGAAGGCTCTGTGGCTGTCTGACAACCAGTCCCAGCCTCTGCTTACATTCCAGACAGACACAGACTACACCACAGGAGAGAAGGTTTTAACCTGTGTCTTACTTCCTCAGCTGCCTTCTGAACCTACTTGTCAAGGTGAATTTAATTTAAGGACAGTATGCATGGGGCCATGAGAATGAGTAGGACATAATGTCTGTCCATAAGGCCTCTTACTTCCACATGTGATTGTATTATTTCCAGTCTGCACCTAGAGCCAGCTCAGGTGAGGCCATTGTGGGACTCTTCTGGGAAGGTTACCCTACATCCTTGCAGAAGAAGGGCCGCTCATATCTGTTTATCATGTCTGAAATTCCATAACCAGCCTTTTGGTTTTGAGTTATAGCTAAGGCTGAAAATATAATACTCTAAAACTGGTAACTGAGTCTCTTAAAATCCAAACTGATAGTTCAGAGGATTAGTCTTAATACCACTGGCATACCGTTTTTAAGCCAGTGAATTATTTTGAGTCGTTGTATCTTTGTTTTGTAAATTGCGTGGTAAAACAGAATATTCATATTAACATCAAAATGGTAATAAACCCTTTGCTGAGAGCTGGGGTTGGTGGAGGAGAACTGGAGTGCCCTGGGGGAATGGGAGTCCCAGGGGGAGGACTTTCAGGTCCTAGAGAGAAACATGTAGAGTGTGTTACTGAGCAAAGTCCAACATGTGCAGCCACATCACTGTCAGAACACTTTTGAAGTTGTATAAAATAATTATTTTAAAAGGGGCTCTAAATTATGACATTCTGTGATGAAATATTAAACATTAATTTAGCAGATATTTGATATGATCTCAAATACAATTATACATCATTAAAAAAGAAGGGGCAACCTTGTCCCAGGCCTTTTTCTTTTTCTTATTGAATTTTGTATTTGTTTATTTTTTAAAGCCAAACTTGATTCCCCTTATTTCTGGTGTTCTACCCCTGGTCCTCCGTATAGATTCTGCCTTGTCAGCCTCAAAGCTGATAGCATTTACCCATCACATGAACTGCAGTTCCCTGCTGATGTGGTCTTTGTCACTGCAGAGAATCTGCCTCGCTGTGGTGCGCTGGAGAGCTTGGTAAATGATGTCTCTGATGAAGCCTGGAATGAGCGTGCTGTCAACAGAGTCAGTGCAATCCGATTTTTAGAGGATGAGAAAGATGAAGAAGACAACGAGACGGTATGGAAATGGAGATTCTGTGGAAGTTCAGAATTAAGATTGAGAATGGCACCTAATAAGGATATTCTTTATTTTCAATTCGTATCTTCTCTTCTTTGCCTTCAGCATTAAGGAATTTTTTACAAGACAAAACTAGGTAATTCTAGGTATTCAGTCACAAAAGGTAAATGAGGCAAACAGAACTCTTGGGTTTTTTGTTTGTTTGTTTTTTCCTTTTTTGAGATAGGGTCTCCCTCTGTTGCCGAGGCTGGAGTGCAGTGGAGTAATCTCAGCTCACTGCAACCTCGACCTCCTGGATTCAAGCCATCCTCCCACCTCAGCCTCTCAAGTAGCTGGTACTACAGGCACCTGCCACCACACCTGGCTGATTTTTATATTTTCACCATGTTGTCCAAGGTGAAAATGTAAAAATTTTCACCAGGGTTTCACCATGTTGTCCAGGCTGGTTTACAGCTCCTGGACTCAAGTGACCTACCTGCCTTAGCCTCCCAAAGTGCTGGGACTACAGGCATGCACCGCTGCACCTGGCCTTTTATTGTGTTGTGCTGCCTTTATGGTGCTTCTTTTCCTTTATTTGTGATAATTTCCCCTCCCCATCCCACTGTTTTCTTTTTTTTTTTTGAGACGGAGTTTCACTCTTGTTACCCAGGCTGGAGTGCAATGGCACAATCTTGGCTCACCGCAACCTCCGCCTCGTGGGTTCAGGCAATTCTCCTGCCTCAGCCTCCCGAGTAGCTGGGATTACAGGCGCGCACCACCGTGCCCAGCTAATTTTTTGTATTTTGAGTAGAGACGGGGTTTCACCATGTTGACCAGGATGGTCTCGATCTGTTGACCTCATGATCCACCCGCCTCGGCCTCCCAAAGTGCTGGGATTACAGGCTTGAGCCACCGCGCCCGGCCCCCACTGTTTTCTTAACATGGAGAATCTTTTTTATTGTTCCTGGTGAATGCTGTCTCTTCCCATGTTGACTCCATTGATTCACCACTGTTTGGCTTAGTGCCAGACCTCTGTGTCTTCTTCATATAACCAGCTCCCCTTAGCCTTCTTACAGAGGGCTTGTGATCTTAGTTGGATTACTTAGCAAGTTTTTGTTCAGAAATTAGAAATTACCGGTCACCCTTACTTTCATCTCGAAAATGTCTCTCAGACATCCGCATCTCTAGGTGTTGGTGAGAAAGCTTGACTTCTTCCTAGCAGTTGACTTTGGCTTCTTAAATTCCTTGTACTCATTGAGATTTTTCATAAGCAGAGCTTAAAGGGAACACTTGCAGCCCCCAAAACAAAGGCAGTTTTTTGTATTATTGCCTATAGCTTTGTTATTCCAGCTGTCACCAAATGGGATTTTAGGCATTTACAGTAGTAAAGGGCAATACGCAAATTAGGAGTGACAAAATCACTTCACTGTCAATGACTGTTTTATGCTTACCTCAAGACTTACAAGAGTGTGATTATCATCAGTTACTTCCTTGCCTCTTCCAGCATTTTGTTAACCTAGTTTGCTTACCCCTAAAGCAAACTAGAATAGGCCATTTAAAAGATGTACATGCTGTTTTATGAAAGATTATGCAACATATTAAATAATGTTTTTTAAATTACTCATACCCTGTTACTTAACTTTCAGTCTTTATTAGAAGAATGAGAACTTTCATCAGTAGGTCACAGAAATAATATACACAACAGCAAAATAGGAAAAGAAATACTCGCCTCTTGCTTTCCTTTTTCTTTAACTCCCATGACTCAAGGGTTGAAAGAAGCCAGAATTGCTTTGGGTAATAGTAGAACATTATAGTGACTCTAATTTAGAAATTTTTATTTACTCTGTTATCTTTTTCTTTCCCCACACCCTACAATTATATCCTAAATTTTAAAATGTTATTGCTATTTATGGAGACTTATTTTTATTTCACAGTAATTTCATATTTTTTAAAGTGTTCTTGTATTCTAAAAGTAATCCTTCTGTTGTAACTAGATAAGTTATATGGAACACTTTCCCTTTCTAATTACACCAGTGAGCAGTTGATAAATCTACATAACTCCAAAGAAAGCTTTTCCACCTACTTTAACTCTTAATTTCTAAGAAGGTAACATTTGTATTGGAATGCCAATGTCTTGAAACTGACTGTTTTGAAAAAGTAATGGAATAAAACCAAAGCACTCACTCCACTGTTTGTTTTTAGAGAACCCTTTTAAGGCGAGCCACCCCACACCCAGGGGAGTTAAAGAACATGAAAAAGACGGTGGAGAATTTACGGAATGACATGAATGCTGCTAAAGGACTGGACTCAAACAAAAACGAGGTCAATCATGCCACTGACCGAGTGACCACTTCTGTGTAGAGTTTCACCTCCAAGTCTTACCTCCTGTGTCTTCCTCTGCTGTCGAGACGTTCCTGTCTTCTTCTGAGGAGCCTCAAGTGCTCCTTGTCCTAACCAGCCCCAGCGCGCCATCTTCCCGTGGAGTGTGGGGAAGCTGCTGTCTCCCAGGAAGTGCCTTACTCCACCTGCAACCAGTCAGCGCATCAGTGGTCTCCCGGCGTGATTTTTTCTTTTTAATTTCAGTTGTTTGTAATAAGTAGAATACACTACTGTAAACATCCGACCTTTGTTTTTGTCTTATGTTGGGGTAAGGGAGAGCAGGAAGGGGAGTTTTTATCCTCCTCCCTTCCATAAAGTGCTGGGACATTTTGAGCCCAAGTTCCCTTGGACCTACTGATGAGAGATAGTTTTATGTATGGGGAAAAAATGGATACTTTTTAAACCTTTTTTGGCAGCTCAGATGGTGTAAATTTTAAAATTTTGTATAGGTATTTCATAACAAAAATATGTATTTCCTTTTTGTTATTTTATCTTAAAAACGGTACGTATTTTAGTATTTGTGCAGAAAAACAAGTCCTAAAGTATTCGTTTTTATTGTACCATCCACTTGTGCCTTACTGTATCCCGTGTCCTGTCCAATCGGTTGTAGACAATGGCATCTTTCAGCAGTGCGATGAGAATAGGAATGTGGTATTTTAAAGCAGTGTTGCATTTTCATCAGTAATCCACCTGGTGGATTTGTTTTTAACCAAAAAGATGAATTATCCATGATTTGTAATTATATTGGTTGATTTTTTTTAAAGATGAACCAAAGGATTTGACTGCTAATATTTTACTCCTTACACTTTAACTTTTTCTGAATAAGTCTCTCATCATGAGCTCAGTGTCAGACTCCGCCTACTTTGATGGTATGTGCCATTTGTAAAATAAAATAGAGCAGAAAACTACAAAAAGAGAAAACTGGTTCAGACATTCAGTGGGCATATAAATTATGTACTGCAAAATAATGATTTTTATTCGAGAAAGCTTTAAAAGTTTTATATCCAGATATACAGCCACAATAAAACAAAATAACCTACTATCAAAATAGAAATGTTGCTACCTTTATAAGTGCAATTTAATTTGTAAATAGAGTTCGAATCAATGTATCACAAAATACTGCTTCAATATTTAATTTTAAATCTGCTAATTTAAGGGATATTGGGATAAGTTTTGGGTTTCTGTTGGTTTCTTTTTTGTATGCTGTGATAAAAGAGAAATGAAAAGTGCCAGCCACTGTGTGCTGTCTAGGAAAATCATGTTTCTTGTTTTCTGTTTTTTTTTCTCCATGAAATAAATTCATCCTGGACATTGGCCATACAGCTTTTTAAAAATTTACTTTGTATGTTCAAGTGATAGCAGGTAGCCAAATTCTTTGACAATGTGCTCTGGTTTATTAAATATCTAAATTACCCATCGGTTATGAGTAGCCTTCTGTGGAACTTGCATTTACACAGGGCAGAACCCAGAATTACCTTTGACTCTGGCTTGTAACTTTGGGTTGTGACTATCTGGCCAATTGTACTTCTTAGAAACCCATTTTCAACCAGCCAAATACAATACTTTCTTTTACTTCTACACATTTATTTGTTGGGTTCACTTGGATGTTTAGGCTGTGTGTATGTAAATATGTGTGTATTTTTTTTTAACTATGGAGCTGAAAGTATGTAACATGTATGTGAGTTTCGGCTAGTCAGTTTTATACTTGTTCCGTAATCTGTGTATGCCAGTTTTCTTGTCTCTATTTTAAGATTTTTGACATCCTCTATTTTGTTTTATGCTTATAAAGATGATGCCACTAACTCATGGGCTGATTATATATAAGCAAATTGGTTTTATTTAATGAGAATTGTCTTGATGTGGAAGAACAACTAGAACATGCATGGTGTGTTTTGTTTGTTTTTATATAAAGCCCATCGTTTGCTATCAGTTCATCATGGCTTTAGTGGACCGGAGTCAGAATGGTGTGTATGTGTGCTTAAGTTTTCCTAGGAAATGTCGTGTACCTAGTTTATTTCCTTTGGCCTGTCTCCATTAGTTCATGTTCACTTGATTTGCTTTGTGTTTTCAGTTTGGGAGATTTTGTTTGTTTCCCTTCTTCCTTTGAGAGGGAAATGTCACTTTCATCTTAATCTTTTATGCTGGTGACACTGCAATGCTCTGGAACTTCAGGATGCTGGAACCAAACTGAAGCTTCACAGTGGAAACAGCACCAACCAGACAGTTCTACCTTGAGAACAGGCCAAGCCTTTTCCAAGAAGTACCCTCTCGTAGTTATAAGAAAAACTTGATTGTGTGAAAGGATACCTTTCTCTGTCAGTGACCCCCCCAACTCCATCCAGCCCTTCCTTTAGGAAAGGGAGGAGTACAGTGTATGTATGGCTAGCTGTTTGTCTTGTGGGAGTGACAGTTGAAAGCAGGAAAGGAGGTTAGTATGATCTGCTCAACTACTTTGTTTTCCCCATAGCTGGTTATTTTTTTTTAGCAAGAAAATTATGTCTCAGTGGGTAAAATAGCCAAAAAATGAAAGAAAGTGAAATAATCAAAGTCATTGATAATGAAAAGAGGGACTGGTAAGAAATTATAAAATGTTTGCCTGGATATTGTTTGTATATTTGTTTTCTGGAAAGTTTGGAGTAATGGTCCTGACCGACCCAATCTTTCTGTCTAAAAGCATACTAGCTGGCTGTCAAAGAGTTGAGCAGGCAAGTTGATCACTCGCACCAGCCTCACACAGCGGCACTTCTGCCATCACCTGTGAAATCTACCACACCCAACAAGACATGCTTAGTGAGTAGGGTGGAGGCTGGGAAAATTCGGATTCTGAGAGTTACTCTGAACAGCCAGTTCTACTCTGGTGAATGACTGACGCTTGGTCAGGCACAGTGGCTCACGTCTGTAGTCCCAGTACTTTGGGAGGCCAAGGCAGGTGGATCATGAGGCCAGGAGATCGAGACCAGCCTGGCCAACATGGTGAAACTCCATCTCTTCTAAAGTCAAAAATTAGCCATGGTGGCATGCACCTGTAATCCCATCTACTCAGGAGGCTGAGGCAGGAGAATTGCTTGAACCCAGGAGGCGGAAGTTGCAGTGAGCAAAGATTGTGCCACTGCACTCCAGCCTGGGTGACAAAGCAAGACTATCTCAGAAAAAAGAAAAAGAAAATGGCTGACGCTCTGCTCTGGGCGTGCTGCTAGTGTGTGGCAAGGCTGCAGCAGCGCTGTCAAACGAGGGACTGTGCATTGCAGCTGCTTATTAATAGAAGGTGATGAGGGACATTGCTGCTCACTGACATCCGTGGAGACCTGAAATCTCACCTCATCATTATTGTTGTCTTACCCTCATCCAATTTTCCAAAAAAACCAGGTAACATCATAGAAAATTCAAAACGTACAAAAAAAAAAAAAGGTAATTCAAAACATAACAGAAGTAGAATCATCATTGAACCTGCTATAGCTATCACTCACCTTCAATAATTAGCAACACAAGACTAAGGCATTTATAAGGAATCAAATGTGTTATGTATGTATTTAAAACATATATCATGTTTTAAAATACATCTATAAGAAAGTGACTGCACAATGCAGCATTTTTTAAAAAAGCTCTGGAAAAGCGAGCAAATATGCTTTCTAAAACTGCTCTGGAGTTAGTTTTTGAGTCAACATAGCATGCCACTGGAATCATGCATATGGATATAGGATTGAATCCAGCCCTGCCACGTAAGTTTGGACAAACTGTTTAATCCCTCTGGGCCTCAGGCACTTCATCTCTAAAATGGGGCAGTAATACTCTTTATAGGCTTAGAGTGAGGATTAAGTGGATACATAAAACAAGCTCTCAGGAAGTGGGTGGCTGCTGTTATTACAGGTCGTGCTGTTGTTCTTGTTATAGTAGTGTTATTAGAAGCTCTGCAGTTCCTGCCGCCAAGCCAATAGTGTATCATCAGATGGGTAGTGTTCTCAGGAATGGGGACCCACACTAGTTCTGATGGAGAAACTTTATTTGAAAACTGTTTCACCTGTGGTTTTATATATAGACTCCTGCATTATGTAATGGATGGTGATTTTAATTAGTCCTGTGTGCTTACCTATGCAGGTAATGGTAGGTGTAGCAGTGGTCTCATGGTAACCTCATTTTCACCAGGCTTACTAACTAGCTATCCTTAAGGTAAAACTAGATCAAACCAGGAAGCCATTAGACAGCTAGTTGAGAAAAGGGTCTCCTTTTCCAGAAAATGTCCCCATCTTGGTCATATCCTCGGTTTTCTAGGTTCAGGTCTCTGGTGCTCATTTTGCCTTATCTCTGGATTGAATCACCCTGCATTTGCATAACATCTCTTTTTTCACCTCTTGCTTTGTTCTCTCTTCTTTCTCTCAAAGGAGGGTTTCATGTATCAGGAGGCATGAGTCAATTTAAGACATGGATCATCCAGGGAGAAAAACCTGTTGGAACAAATTAGTTAGTACAACCTGACTTGGAGCATGTAGAGAACACTCCCATCTTGCTGGAGTGGTTTCTTTCTTAAAAAGCAGACAGCTGGCGGGAAAGGGAAACCAGAAGAACCTGATCTGTTACTTGTGTTCAGTGGGCTGTGTGGAAGATTGGAGACAAGGTTTTGTGTCTGGCCGTTGGCCAGAAGGATAGTGTAACTTTAAACTCTGAGAGTGGGCAGTCATTGTGACAGGCATGGATTTTAGCCAAGGGCTCTTGAGTTCTGACTGGACAAGAATCTGACTGGTGGATTCTCCAAGTTTTTTTTTTTTTTGAGACAGAGTCTTGCTCTGTCACCCAGGCTGGAGTGCAGTGGCACAATCTTGGCTCACTGCAACCTCCCCCTCCCAGGTTCAAATGATTCTCCTGACTCAACCTCCCGAGTAGCTGGAATTACAGGTGCATGCTATCATCTAATTTTTGTATTTTTAGTAGAAATGGGGTTTTGACATATTACCCAGGCTGGTCTCAAACTCCTGGCCTCAAGTGATCCACCTGCCTCAGCCTTCCAAAGTGCTGGGATTATAGGCATAAGCCACTGTGCCTGGCCCCAGAAGATTTCTTTTGCGGCATCAATATTTAACTTCTAAACAAAAAACGAGCTGCCGTTTTTATGGTAAGTTAGTACTATGAACTACAGTAACCATTCACTGAGTACTTACTACGTGCCCCACACTGACATAGCTGAACACAGCCTCAACTTTCCAGAACACCACCATGAGGCAGGTGGTGGGATTTCATTGTGTGCAGCAGATAATTAAGACTCAAATAGTTTTAGGAATGTGCCCAAGACCAAACAGTAAGGGACAAGTTGGAATTCAGATTCACATCTCCATTGACATTTCAATCAACGGATTGAAATTTTGCTTTGCTTTATTTTGCTTTGCTCCCCTCCCCCTGCCAAAGCACTGTGAACCTGTAATTACATTTAGAGTTGTATTTCTCATAATGGTGATGGTTCTGTTTTTATCAAAATTATATAGGCCAAAGTTATAGACAAAGACTGGCATGGAACTGAGTGAAATTTAATGAAATTGATGCAGAATTGGGCCTTCATTTGTGCCTAGTGGTTGCTAACACTATGACTCTGCATTCTTTAACCCAAGGGTCCCCAACCTGTACCCCAGGAACAGGAACCAGTTCTTGTTCTGTTAGGAACTGGGCCACACAGCAGGTAAGCAGTGGATGAGTGAGCATTACCACCTGAGCTCTGCCTCCTGGCAAATCAGCTGCAGCATTAGATTCTCATAGGAGCACGAACTCTATTGTGAACTGCACATGCGAAGGATCTAGGTTGCACGCTCGTTATAAGAATCTAATGCCTGATGATCTGTCACTGTCTCCCATCACCCCCAGATGAGGCCATCAAGTTGCAGGAAAACAAGCTCAGGGCTCCCACTGATTATGGTGAGTTGTGTAATTGTTTCATTATACATGACAATGTAATAACAATAGAAATAAAGTGCATGGTAAGTGTAATGCACGTATACTGAAGCCATTCCCCCTTACTGGTCCGTGGAAAAATTACCTTCCATGAAACTGGTCCCTGGTGCCAAAAAGGTTTGAAATCCCTGCTCTAACCCTCCCGCCACCTTCACTCACTTCTTGTGTGTTGTCCTGGGTTAAGTGCTGTGGAAATGTTCATGGGGTCTTTGTTCTACCATCTCAAACTATATGCAAATACTAAGCAACTTGGGAGATAAAGTATTTGGCTAGTGGGAAAAAAATTGATATTTTCAACATTAACTAGAGTGACAGTTTGGTAATCAGCTCTGAGAAAGCTTCAACATGTTCCAAAAATTGGCAGTGAGCTCGAGAGTGAGCTAATTAG